CATATGAGGTGACTGAAAACACCATGGCTTGGGTCAGGCACACTGTCTTAGTCATCTAGTGCTTTTATAACAGAAATACCACAAGTGGATAGTTTTAACAAAGAGAAATTTATTCTCTCACAGTCTAGTAGGCTACTAGTCTGAATTCAAGGCACCAGCTCCAGGGGAAAGCTTTCGCTCTCTGTCGGCTCTGGAGGAAGGTCCTTGTTATCAATCTTTCCCTGGTCAAGGAGCTTCTCTGCACAGGAACCTCAGGTATAAATGATGCGCTCTGGTCCCAGCATTGCCTTCTTGGTGGTATGAAGCCCCCCTGTCTCTCTGCTCACTTCTCTCTTTTATATCTCAAAAGAGACCAGTTTAAAACACTACCTAATCTTGTAGATCTCATCAATATAACTGCCACTAATCTGTCTTGTTACATCATAGTGATAGTAATAGAATCTACAACACATAGGGAAATCACATCAGATGACAAAATGGTATACCATCATACAATACGGGGAATCATGAGCTAGCCAAGTTGACAGATGTTTTGGGGGGGCACAATTCAATCTATGACACACACCTTAGTCTTCAAGGTGACGTCTTTGCTTTTTAACACTTTAAAGAAGTCTTTTGCAGCGGATTTGCCCACTGCAATGCATCCTTTGATTTCTTGACTGCTGCTTCCATGGGTGTTGATTGTGGATCCAAGTAAAATGAAATCCTTGACTTCAATATTTTCTCCCCTTATCATGATGTTGCTTACTGGTCCAGTTGTAAGGATTTTTGTTTTCTTTACGTTGAGGTGCAATCCATACTAAAGGCTGTAGTCTTTGATCTTCATCCGTAAGTGCTTCAAGTCTTCTTCACTTTCAGCAAAGAAGGTTGTGTCATCTGCATAACGCAGGTTGTTAACGAGTCTTCCTCCAATCCCGATACCCCATTCTTCTTCATATAGTCCAGCTCCTCAGATTATTTGCTCTGCATATAGATTAAGTATGCTGAAAGGATAAAACCCTGAGCCACACCTTTCCTGACTTTAAACCACACAGTATCCCCTTGTTTTGTTCAAACGACTGCCTCTTGATCTATGTACAAGTTCCTCATGAACACAATTAAGTGCTCTGGAGTTCCCATTCTTCGCAATGTTATCCATAATTTGTTATGATCCTCACATAGTCAATGAAATACAGGTAAAATCTTGCTGGTATTCTCTTCTTTCAGCCAGGATCCATCTGACATCAGCAGTGATATCCCTGGTTCCACATTCTCTTCTGAATCCGGCTTGAATTTCTGGCAGTTCCCTGTCAATGTACTCCTGCAATTACTTTTGAATGATCTTCAGCAAAATTTTACTTGCATGTGATATTAATGATACTGTTTGATAATTTCTGCATTTGGTTGGATCACTTTTCTTGGGAAAAGGCATAAATATGGATCTCTTCCAATCAGTTGGCCAGGTAGCTGTCTTCCAAATTTTTTGGCATAGGCAAGTGAGCACTTGTAGAGCTGCATCTGTTTGTTGAAACATCTCAGCTGATATTCCATCAATTCCTGCAGCTTTGTTTTTTGCCAACGCTTTCAGCGCAGCTTAGATCTCTTCCTTCAGTACCATTGGTTGCTGATCATATGCTGCCTCCTGAAATGGATGAAAGTCGACCAATTCTTTTTGGTAACGTGTCTCTGTGTATTCCTTGCATCTTCTTTGGATGCTGCCTGCATCATTTAATATCTTCCCCCACAGAATCCTTCAATATTGCAACTTGAGATTTGAATTTTTTCTTCAGTTCTTTCAGCTTGAGAAATGCCAAGTGTGTTCTTCCCTTTTCCATAGCAGCACCTAAAATGGATCATTCATTTATAAGAAAATCAATAAGTATCTATGAATAAACAGCTCCAGATATGAAGAACAAAAATTACAATATACAGGTGTCTATTAACACCCTGGAGCCCTGGTGGCAAAGTGATTAAGAGCTTGGCTTTTAACCAAAATGTGGGTAGCTTGATTCCACCAGGCTCTCCTTGGAAACCCTATGGGGCAGTTCTACTCTGTCCTATAGGGTTGCTATGAGTTGGAATCGACTTAAAGGCAATGGGTTTGGTTTGGTTTTTTGGATTAACACCCCCTTCAATCCATCTATTAGTTTGTCACACTGTGATGGCTTCCATGTTGCTATGATGCTGGAAGATAGGCCACCAGTATTTCAAATATCAGTAGTGTCACCCCTGGTGGACAGGTTTCACCGAGCTTCCAGACTAAAACAGAAGAGGAAGAAAGGCCTAGATATCTGCTTCCAAAAATTAGCAATGAAAACCTTATGGATCACAACAGAACATTGTCTGACATAGTGCTGGAAAAGAAGCCCTCTAGGTTGGAAGGCACCAATGGACTCAAGCATGCCAGTGATCATGAAGCTAGCAAGAACAGGGTAGCATTTTGTTCTGTTGTGTTTGGAGTCGCCAATGGTTGGAGCTGACTTGACTGCAGCTAACAACAATAATTAACACCCCATTACTCTGATCATGCATATCCATGGGTGGCCGAGATGGTTAAGTCCTGGACTACTACCAGATAGGCTGGTGGTTTGAATCCACCCAGAGGTGCCACAGATTACAGGCCTGGTGATCTGCTTATGAAAGGTCACAGCCTTGAGAACCCTGTGGAGCAGTTCTACTCTGCACACGTGGGGTTGCCATGAATCAGAATCAACTTGATGGCAACTAACAACAAGAACAATTAACAAACCATTATCCTCATCATTGAATCCTGTGTGAGCTCTGGTCCTTCTTTAATCACTATCCCCCACCTTCCACTGTTACCATTATCTCTACTATCTCCAACATCAGTCAAATGCATGATGTGAAAGTCTTGGATCAACAATCAATATCCATGGAAGCAGCCGTTAAAAAATCAAAGGTTGTATTGCACTGGGCAAATCTGCTGCAAAAGACCTCTTTCAAATCTTAAAAAGCAAAGATGTCACTTTGATGACTAAGAAGCCTCTGACCCAATCCATGGTATTTTTAATTGCTGCATATTCATGGGGAAGCTTGATGATAAAAAGGAAAATGGAAGAATTGACACACTTGAATTATAGTGTTGGCAAAGAATATTGAATATATCACGGACTGCCAGAAGAATGAACAAACCTGTCTTGGAGGAAGTACAGCCAGAATGCTCCTTAGAAGCCAGGATGGTGAGACTTTATCTCACTTATTCTGGACATGTTATCAGGAGGGACCAATCCCTGGAGAAGGACAACACACTTGGTAAAACAGAAAGTCTGTGAAAAACCGGGAGACCCTTAATGAGAAGGTTTGACACAGTGACTGCAACAATGCGTTCAAACATACCAAAGAATGAAAGGATGGTGCAGGACTGGGCAATGTTTCATTCTGTTATACATGCGGTTGCTATGAGTCAGTCGACTGGATAACACCTAACAACAATAAAAAACTTTCCAGATACCTGCAACAGAATCTGGCATAGAAGGTTAAAGAGTGATTAAGCACTTGAGCTAGAGCACCAGGTCATCCTCCACTGTTTCTATGCTCATTGTGCGGCCATAGTCAAGTGTCTTGACTTCACTGTATATTCCTGCTCTGTAAAATGAGAGAATAATAGTGATAATTTCAATGATGGTTGTGATAATGATTGAGATGATGATGATGATAGTAATAATGAAGATGATCATGGTGATGATGGTGATGATGATGATACTGGTGGTAGGGATGAAAATGATGATGATGATATAGATTATTTTAGTTATCCGGTGCTGCTATAACAGAAATACCACAAGTGGATGGCTTTGACAAACAGAAATTTGTTTTCTCGAAGTCTAGCAGGTTAGAGTTCGAATTCAGGGCACCAGCTCCTAGGGAAGGCTTTCTCTGTCAGTTCTGGGGGAAGGTCCTTGTCATCAATCTTCCCTTGATCTAGGAGCTTCTCTGCCCAGGTACCCAGGGTCCAAAGGCCACACTCCACTCCCAGTGCTTCTTTCTTGGTGCTATGAGGTCCCTGTCTCTCTGTTTGCTTCTCTCTCCTTTTATCTCTTGTAAGATAAAAGGTGATGCAAGGAAACTTACCCTATATCGGATCAGGGCTGTGACCTGAGTAAGGGTGTCTCATTCCACCCTAATCCTCTTTAACATAACCTAATCTTGCCTCATTAACCACAGGCAGAGATTAGGATTTATAACACATAGGAAAATTACATCAGATCACAAAATGGAGGACAACCACTCAATACTGGGAATCATGGCCTAGCCAAGTTGACGCACATTTTTAGGGGACATAATTCAATCCATAACAGAGATGATGATGGTGACAATAGCGTTTTGTATTTTTGCCATTTGGTTTCCCTTTTGTGAACTGCCTATTCTTTTCCTTGAAGATTTTACTTGGCTTTATATATTTGTGTGTGTCCAAACCAAAAACCAAACCAGTTGTTGTCCAGTACATTCAGACTTATGGTAACCCCATGAAGCAGGGTCTTCCTGGCTGTAATCTTTATGGAAGTGGATCACCAGACCTTCTTCTATGGTGTGGCTGCATGGGTTCGAACAACAAACCTTTAGTTTAGAAGTTGAGAGAGGGCAAACCACTTGCACCACCCAAGGACTTTGTGTGTGTATATATACAAATGATTTGTCCATTTTATGAAAGCACAAATCTTCCCAAGCTTTGGGCTTTTTATTTATTGTTTATGGTATCTTTGAGTGTAGAATTGTTTTAAAATTTTACAAGGTATCCAGTACAATTCTAATGTATAGTAACCATATAGAACAGAGTGGAAATGCCCCATAGGGTGTCCAAGGCTGTAAATCTTTATGGAAGCAGACTGCCACATCTTTCTCCTGCAGAGTGGCTGGTGGGTTCAAACCACCAACCTTTCAGTTTTCAGCCCAGCATTTAACTACTGCACCACCAGGGTTCCTCACAAGGTGTATACACAACAGAATATTCCTCATCTACAAGCACACAGAATTTTTCTATATAAGTTTTTTCTTGAACAGGTTTATATGTCTTTTCCAGGCTTTTCTTGAAGAATTTCGATGCCTGGATTCTTCAGGGTACAAATAGTCAGGGATTGTGGACCTCCATTATTTGGTTTTGAAAGACCAAAGAATGGACACAGCATTTCCATAGCAGAAATACTGGTGAATGTGAAGACATGGGATCCATCACTCATGTTGAAAAAGGATAGGTTTCCAAAGTCCACATCCAGGAAAATGCCCACTTGGTATAATTTCAGTTTCATCCAGAAGATGGTGCGAGGCACAGTGCTGGCAGAGATCACTCCCTTTCTCAAACTCACAGTCCAGAATCCAAGTTCTGAATTCAGTACAATGGGTCCTTTTCGGTCAACGGACTCTCTGCAAACGCCCAGATGCCATTCTTGGCTTGTTCCCACATCCACCTCCCAGTAATGGCGGCCAGAGGTGAACTTCAGGGAACCCAGGACACCTAGTGCTTTGTTGAATCTCTCAGTGTGCTTTTGCCGATTCTGTCTGATACGCTCACATCGGACGCTCCTCAGGTCATCAGAAATGATAAGGAATTCACTGGCTGTGTCGACATCCAAGGTCATGTCCACTATGAACAGAAAAGTAACTCAGCAAATGGACAGATTATAGGCCCATTCTTCATTTCCACTGCATATGTATCTCTCATTTTTCTCAACTACTTTAATTCTACTCTTCCTCTAGAAGTGTCCAGGGAACAGTTTCCTGACCTTCCTGTCTAGAACAAATTACCCAAGTTAAGCATTGAAGATGGTCTGGTTGCGCTTAACTCCTAACCTAGAGGTTGGTGGTCAAACTCACCCAGTGGCTCCACGAGAGAAAGACCTAGCAACCAGCTTCCATAAAGATTGTTGTTGTGTGTCGTCAAGTTGATTCCGGCTCATAGCAACCCTATATGACAGAGTAGAACTGCTCCCTAGGGTGTTCTGGCTGTAATCTTTATGGGAACAGATCACCAGATCTTTCCTCCCGTGGAGCCATAGGTGAGTACAAACCACTGACCCCTCAGTTAGCAGCTGGGTACTTAACCATTCCACGACCAGGCCTCCTTTCTGTAAAGATTACACAGCCTGGGAAACCCTATGGGGAAGTTCTACTCTGTTAAATGGGGTTGCTAGGAGTCAAAACTTGACTTCACAGCACCCCAAAACAACAACTCTGTGATTACATTTAGCCCAGGCAAAAGACAGTACACAGAGCATGTGATATTGTCCACCCAGGGACCCCTTTAGTCAGATAATCTTCACTTAGTTCAGGTAACCTTCACATTGAATGGAGAGCTAGCTGTAACTATGGCTATTACTGTGCCCACATTTACCTTGGAACTTGAGCATCCTCGGGTTCATCTGCAGAGTGGCTCTCAGCTGGGGCTCTAGTTCCTTGATCTTGGAGACGAGCTTTCCCAGCTGCCACCTGGGCCTGATCTCGCTCTTCAGACAAACTTGAAGGCATTTGGGACCTGACAAAATCTCCCCCTGGGGCTCCTTCTCAAGGACAGTGATGCAGTGGAGGCAGCAAGTGTATCCACATTTCAAGTGCACAGGTTTCTCAAAATAGTCCTGGCAGACAGGACATCGGCCTGCCCCTTGAAATAGTTCAGCCATAGTGACTGCCTGGGAAAAGATGGGCACAGTCATGGAAGACTTTATGATTTCAATGTCTATTATTTTCTGGAAAGCTCTTGTGATTTACACGCAAAGTATTTCTAGGAATCAAGTTGTCTCCATCCCTAGTGGTGGGTACTGGGAATACAATTATAAAGGGCACATGATCCAGATGTTCAGAGATTTGGAGGGCTGGTTGGAGTGAGAAACAATGGCCATCACTGGACTTTAAGTAGAGTTGGGGTAAAGATGCAGACTCACATAGATGCTACACCAATACCTACCAGCCCAACATGGCTGCATCGCGAACCAATAGCAGGAAATGACAAGTTAAAGAAATCAAGGGGAGCTTTCAATTTGCTATCTTCTAGAGCACTGGCTACCAATGATCATGAAGATTGCATGGGGCCAGGCAATGGTTCATTCTGTTATACATAAGGTCACCATGAGTAGGAGCCCACTTCATGGCAACTAATAACAAGAGTATTCATTCTCATCTGGTGACAATTTTGTCCCCCATGAGACATTTGGCAATGTCTGGAGACATTTTTTGCTTGTCATAATTGGGGGATACTACTAGCATCTAGTGGGTAGATACCAGCGATGCTGCTAAACATTCTACAATACACATGATGGCCTCCACAACTAAAAATTATCCTGCCCGAAATGTCAATAGTGCCAGGATTGAAAAACCCTGACTGAGAGAAAGAGAGGCTATAATTTGATCAAGAAAAATATAAAAATATGTCACCATCATGGATTTAACTGTGTCTCCCAAAAATCTGTGTCAACTTGGCTGGGTCATAATTCCCAGTATTCTATGCTTGTCCTCCATTTTGTGATCTGATGTAATTATGTGTTGTAAATCCTAGCCTCTATGACTGTGTTTATGCCCATTTGGCAGTGAGTTATCGTTATGTTAATGAGACAGGCTTAGGTTATGTTAATGAGGATTAGGGTGGGGTGCACCACCCTTGCTTGAGTCACACCTTTTATCTCATAAGAAATAAAAGAAGAGAGAAGCTAGCAGAGAAAAGGGACCTCAGTACCACTAGGAAAGAACAAGAGCAGAGCGAGTCCTTTGGACCCAGGGTCACTGTGCTGAGAACCTCCTGGTCCTAGGCAAAGATTGATGCCAAGACACATGGAGATCTCCAAGGGATGCTGAGCCCACAGATGTTGAAAAGAGACAAGGAATTTCCCCAGAGCCAATAGAAAGTGGAAGCATTCTCCTAGAGCTCGTGCCCTGAATTCAGACTTCCAGTCTCCTAAACTGTGAGAGAATAAATTTCTGTTTGTTAAAGCCATCCACTTGTAGTATTTCTCTTATAGCAGCACTAGATAACTAAGACAGCCACTTCTTCACCCTGGGTGCAGAGATCAAATTTGTGCTCAATAATCCTAGAGTTGGGGGGCCATGGTGAATTCTCGCCTTCCATGCTGGAGAGCCAGGTTTGATTCCTGGCCAATGCACCTCATACCCAACCACTACCCACCTATCAGTGGAGGCTTGCATGTTGTTATGATCTGAACAGGTTTCAGTGGAGCTTCCAGACTAAGACAGACTTAGAAAATCAGCCAGTGAAAACCCTATGGACCACAATAGTCCAACCTCATTGTATATAGAATTACCGTGCATTGGGGGCTAACAAGACGGCAGCTAACAACCATACAACAATGCCAGAGTGGAGAGACAAAATATGAATAAATTTGGGACATTGTGGCAGGCATGTACTTGTGAATGACTAATTTCTATTATAAGGACCAGCACAAAACTGGTTCCTGTGAGGCGGAGGTTAAAGATGTCCCAAATGTCCGACTTTTCCAAACTGCTGTACTACTCCATCATCTCTAACATCAACCACTCCTCCTTCCCTCAGTACTCTCCCTCCCATCTTTGGGTTCCATAATTTGCTGTAACATCTCAGAGAAATAACAGTGTCAATGAAATGGCTCATGAGGTTGTAGAGGCTGGCAAGTTCTAAATCTTTGGGCCAGGAGGCTGGCAAGTTCTAAACCTTTGGGCCAGGCATCAGGCTAGAGGCGTCTCCTTACTCACGGGTTGCAGGGACTGACAAGCCCAAATCGGCAGGCCAACTGTCCACAGGCTGATGGCTCGCAAAGCTGTGAAAGCTAGAGAATCAGGTCAGATGATAGGCTACTGGCTCAAGTTCCAAGAATCAGAAGTCACATGATGATGAGCCTGATGCAGCATCCAGAGCAAAAGAGAGAGCTTTGCCACAGCATTCATGTGTATGTTGGATGCAAACCATACCCTCAAGGAAACTCCCTTTACTTGAGCAAAGATGTGACTTGAATAAAGGTGGTAAGGGTGGTGACTGGAGTAAGGGTGGTGACTTGAGTCACACCCTCTAATAAGGTGGTGACTCAAGATACATCTCATCCTAATCCTGCCTCATTAACATCACAGACAACTCGCTCCCAACTGGGACCTATAACCACAGGCATAGAGGCTAGGATTTACAACACATCACAAAATGGAGGATAATTACATAAGATCACAAAATGGAGGATGTAATGTGGCAGTTGTGTAATGATGTAACTGCCAAACCACTGAAAATCATGGCCCAACCAAGTTAATCATCACAGGTTGCATATACCTTATTTGCATTAGCAGCAAGCTGTCCGGTCCCCTTGGTGGGCCACAAGCACCTTATTTGCATAGTCCCACCCAATCATTGTGTGGGAGTCAAAAACACTGGCCAAAAGTGCCGTGTTATAGTAATTTGCTGCACCTCAACTTGTCATCCAAGGATTTGCTGATAGAATAAATTACCTTATTACCTTATTTGCTGCCTCTTTACTGCAATTTTAAGGAGTTCCTGGGTGGCACAAACTATTAAGCTCTAGACTACTAACTGACTATCCCGACCATGGAACAGACCATCAGTAGCTCATATGCAAGTTCAAGTTAAAGCAGAAGAAAATTAGAACAAGTCCATGAGACTCAAATTATGACCTTGAGTATACCCCACCTGAATTTAGAGGCCATCTCAGGATAGATTTAATGAGTTGAACACTAACGACCGAAGACCAGATGAGTTGTAGAATGACATCAAGGACATCATACATGAAGAAAGCAAGAGGTCATCAAAAAGACAGGAAAGAAAGAAAATACCAAAATGGATGTCAGAAGATAACTCTAAAACTTGCTGTGGAATGCCAAGTAGCTAAAGCAAACAGAAGAAATGATGAGGTGAAAGAGCTGAACACAAGATTTCAAAGAGTCACTTGAGAAGACAAAGAAAAGTATTACAATGACATGTGAAAAGACCTGGAGTTAGAAAACCAAATAGAGGAACACATTTGGCATTTCACAAGCTAAAAAAACTGCAGAAAAAATTCAGGCCTCGAGTTGAAATATTGAAGGGTTCTACAGGAAAAATATTGAACGACACAGGAAGCATAAAAAGAAGACGGAAGGAATACACACAGTTACTCTACTAAAAAGAATTGGTCAACATTCATCCATTTCAGGAAGCAGCACATGATCAGGAACCAATGTTACTGAAGGAAGACATTGAAGGCACTGAAGGCATTGGCAAAAAATAAGGCTTCAGGAATTGATGGAATACCAATTGTGATGTTTCAACAGATGCAGCACTAGAAATGGTCACTCATCTACGCCGAGAAATTTGGAATACAGCTACCTGGCCAACTGACTGGAAGAGATCCATATTTATGCCTATTTCAAAGAAAGATGATCCAAAAGAAAGTGGAAATTATCAAGCAATATCATTAATATCACACACAAAATTTTGCTGAAGATCATTCAAAAGTGGTTGCAGCAGTACAATGACAGGGAGCTGCCAGAAATTCAAGCCCAATTCAGAAGAGGATGTGGAGCCAGGGATATCATCGCTGATGTCAGAAGGATCCTAGCTGAAAGCAGAGAATACCAGAAAGATGTTTACATATGTTTTATTGACTATGCAAAGGCATTCAACTGTGTGGATCACAACAAATTATGGATAACATTGTGAAGAATAAGAACTCCAGAGCACTTAATTGTGCTCATGAGGAACCTGTACACAGATCAGGAGGCAGTCTTTTGAACACAGCAAGGAGATACTGTCTGGTTTAAAGTCAGGAAGGGTGTACCTCAGGGTTGTATCCTTTCACCATGCTTAATCTATATGCTGACCAAATAATCCAAGAAGCTGGACTATACAAAGAACATGGCATCAGGATTGGAGGAAGACTCATGCAGATGACACAACCTTGCTTGCTGAAAGTGAAGAGGACTTAAAGCATTTACTGATGAAGATCAAAGACTATAGCCTTCAGTATGGATTACACCTCAACATAAAGAAAGCAAAAATCCTCACAACTGGGCCAATAAACAACATCATGATCAATGTAGAAAAGATTGAAATTGTCAAGGATTTCATTTTACTTGGATCCATAATCAACACCCATGGAAGCAGCGGTCAAGAAATCCAATGAGACATTGCATTGGGCAAATCTGCTGCAAAAGACCCCTTTAAAGTGTTATAAAGCAAAGATGTCACCTTGAAGACTAAGGTGGGCCTGTCCCAAGCCATGATGATTTCAATCACCTCACATGCATGTGAAAGCTGGACAATGAGTAAGGAAGACCGAAGAAGAATTGATATCTTTGAATAATGAATATACCATGGACGGCCAAAGGAACAAACAAATCTGTCTTGGAAGTAATGCAGCCAGAATGCTCCTTAGAAGCAAGAATGTCAAGGTTACATCTCACTTACTTTGGACATGCTGTCATGAGTGACCAGTCCCTAGAGAAGGACATCATGCTTGGTAAAGTAGACGGTCAACAAAAAAGAGGAAGACCCTCAACAAGATGGGTTGACACAGTGGCTGCAACAATGGGCTCAAACATAGCAATGACTGTAAGAATGGCACAGACTGGGCAGTGTTTCGTTCTGTTGTACATGGGGTTGCTAGCAGTCCCAACTGACTTTACAGCAACTAATAACTAACTGAAAGGTTGGTGTTTCAAACCCACCTAGAAGCAATACAAAAGAAAGTCCTGGCAATCCGATTCTGAAGGTCACAGCCTGGAAATCCTATGGAGCACAGTTCTACTCTGACACACAAGGGGTTGCCATGAGTCGGAATGAGTCAATGGCAACTAACAGCTGCAATTTTAGAAATCTGAGAAGTATTAAAAGAATTTGTTGAATATTGGACTTACCTCTTTTTCCTGGATTCTCCTCTGGCCTCTAGCAGCTCCCACAGGCAGCACTCACACAGTTGCAGCGGCGGATGAATTCCAAATCTGCAGCTCTTAGGGAAGGCTGCTGGCTCACAGGGCTGTGGAAGCTGTCTATTCCGGCAGCAGGTCAGAGGGCGGCCTGCTGGCTAAAGTCCCAAGGAAGGAGATCAGAGGTCAGATGCAGGATCCAGAGCAAAATACCCGACCTTTGCCAGAACATCAGTATATATATTGAATGCAGGCCACACCCCAGAGGAAACTCCCCTTACAACTGATTGGCTGATCGCGTACGGCATCACGGAAATGATTACATTGCATTATTTACGGAAGAGCAATCTGTCCACTACTTGCCAAACCACTGAGAATCATAACCTAATCAAACTGACGTGTAACATTAACCATCACACCTTCCCTCCTCGCCATTAATCATACAGGACCACGCCTCTTAGTGTTACGGAAGGGAGTGAGAAGTGCACTGTTGAAGTAGAGAGCTTATACTGACAGTGTATATTCTACTTGTTGTCTGGTGCATTTGAGTCGATTCCATCTCAGGGCAACCCCATGTGACACAGTAGAACTGCCCCATAGTATTCTCGACGGGGCTGCACCCCGTCTTTCGTGCTCCTGTGTCCCCCTGGCGGCTCACCCGCCCTCCAGGGGTCCCAGGCTTGTCTCTGGATGCTCGTGGCAAGGCAGGCCCAGCTTCCTTACTATGCCTTCCTCACCACCGCGGAGCCTGCGGAGTTAGGGGTGGTGGTGGTGGTCGGGGGTTGCCCGCTGCCCGCCGCCTCCCGGAACCCACCCTGGGCCTGGGGACACTCCTCATCCTCAATTCGCCTCAGCCCCGCAGCCACCGCTCGACCACCTTCTCTCCCCCCTTTCCGCCTCCCCTGTTGACCTCCTTGGCACCTTAGGGCCCCCCCTCCTGCCTCCCCCTGCCCGCCCGCGATCTTCGTCGTCCCCCCGTCGCCCTGCGCCCTCCATGGTTGGGGGCCTGGTCCACGCGGGTGCAGGGAACTGGGGCCGGTCCCGAGCGTTGCCTATCCCGTGTCGGGATGGGAAAAGAGAGAGGGGCGGTTGGGAGGAGCCGGTAGGGGTGGCAGCAGTCCCGACCACGGGTCCCGGCGGCGAGGGCGAAGGGCGGGAGCTTTTCCCCTTCACCGGCGGGCAGAGCCGTGGTCCTGCGTTCCGCGGGAGGCTGCGGCTTGGGGTCTGCGTCCAAGCGACGGCTGAGCCCCCCGCCCCCACCCCCCGCCTCGCCCACTACCTTGTCCAAGTACTAGCGGGTCCCTGCGCAGAGATTTAAAGACCTTAGAGGGTCGCCTGGCGGTTGTGGTTCAGGGCGGCGGGTCCTCGGGTGTCCGGAGGCCTGTCCTCCCCTCTCCCCCAGACTCTGCCCCCAGGCCAGGGGGAGCGCCCAGTGTCCTGAAAAGGACCCTGGTGGGTAATGGTTAAGAGCTCATCTGCTCACCAAAGGTCGGCCGTTCGAATCCACTAGCGGCTCCTTGGAAACCCTATGGGGCAGTTCTACTCTGTCCTGTAGGGTCACTATCAGTCGGAATCGACTCGGTGGCAACGGGTTTGCTTTTGGTTTCAATCTCAACTGGAGCAGATCACCAGGGCTCTTTTATATTCTGTTTAATGGGACAAAATATCACCTTGTTACCACTCAAAAATTAGATGAAATCTTATGTCAGGGTTTCTCCTCTCCCCCTCCTGGTTCATTTTAGGACTCATTTCTCTGAAATAGATGACAAGAAAAATGCCTTCATTTTAAGGCTAAATCAGATTATTCGATAGTATTACATTGTTGTTAGGTGCAAAGTCCAGTCGGTTCCGACTCATAGCAATCCTATGCACAACAGAAAGAAATACTGCCCCGTCCTGCGACAACCTCAAAATCGTTGTTATGCTTTGAGTCCATTGTTGCAGCCACTATGTGACTCCATCTCGATGAGGGTGTTCCTTTTTTTTTTTTTTGCATACCTTCTTCTTTACCAAGCATGCTATCCCTCTCCAGGGACTGATCCCTACTGATAACATGTCCAAAGTATGTGAGACTTAGTCTCGCCATCCTTGCTTCTAAGGAACATGCTGGCTGTATTACAGTAGTGGGATTATAAAAAAATATGTAGGCTTCTTTACACATCAATATCAAAATAAAGTCAATCGATATAGCTGCTAGATGAAATCCTGTTTCATATGTTTGTTTGTTGCTGTTGTTGGTTGCTATCCAGTCATCTCTGACTCATGGCAGCCCCATGTACAACAAAACGAAATGTTGCCTGCTCCTGCACCATCTTCATGATCATTGGTATGTTTGAGTCCATTGTTGGATCCGTTTGATCTGGGATCTTTAGAATCTTGGAGAAAGGAAAAGAAGATTTAAAAGGGAAAGATCAGGAATGATGCAAAAGGAAGAAATCACTTTTTTTTTTTTTTTTTTGAGTGGAACCAGTAGCAAGCTCTACTTGAGAGCATCAACTACTTGAGGAAATAGCTCACGATGTACCCTGGGCTTCGTCCTGATACTTTGTAAAGTGCCTAATATAGGTGAAGACATGAATGGCTCGTTTTTCACACTTGTAAGTTATTCCTATGAATTATCAACATTTTTCTGGAACAGAGATGAACAAATTGAAGTAAATAAAGGCTACCTAAAGGTTCATCCACCAGATAGCAACACTGATTATAGCTGATTGCAATGAACATAAAATGAGTTTACATCTTGTTATTAAAACAAAAATCCAATCATACTGACTAACCTCATTCAGGATTTTTAGCAAAGCTTTAAGGGAATAACATATACCAGAGGAACCATAGTGCTGACAACTGCTGGAAAAATATATAAAATAAGCTTGTAAAATTAGCTAGTTTGGTCTCATTTAATTTAAAATGATAGTAATGTAATCTTACATTCATATTTAAGAAAAAAAAATACTCTCAGGATTAAAGATTTCACTTAGTTTAATACAAACCCTGACTACATTACCAGTAATGATATCATAGCCTGCAAGAATTTAATCAGCATTTAATTGGATTAAAGAGGCAAGGCAGAATGTGAATAAGGAGGAGGAACCTTCCCTATAAAAGGCTCTTTTGTGTCTGCTTCCCACAAGAGCTGAGCTACTGGTGGAAGCAGCTGGAGCCAGAGAAGAATCCAGGGCAGGAGAGGTGAGTCTAATCTCGTGTATATTCTTTTTATTTTTCAGGTGTCTAGAAATTGCAGTCGTGGTATAGAAGCATAAGAGGGATTTAGTAGCTGTTAATTTAACAAGTGTCGTCTGAGTGCCAACTCAATTCCAAGCACTATGTTTAAAATTAATCTCACTGGATCCTGCAGCTGTAAAATTGGTAAGCAGTCAATTTGGTATTCAGTCCCAGAAATAACATATTTGTTTTTGGATATCAAGCTGTAACTTGGGTCACTTTAGGAGATAGTGAAATTACAGCCCTCTTCAGTGGTTTGCTTTTAGGGGCCTGTGTAGCTCATTTGGTAGAGCATCAGACTTTTAATCTGAGGGTCCAGGGTTCAAGTCCGTGTTCAGGCATTCTTTGATTTTAGGAGCCCTGGAGACACAGTGATTAAGAGCTTGGCTGCTAACTGATAGGTCAGCAGTTAGAATCCACCAGCTGCTCCTTGGAAGCCCTATGGGGCAGCTCTACTCTGTCCTACAAGGTCACTCTGAGTCAGAATCAACTTGACAGCAACCAGTTTGGCTTTGGAGCCCTGGTAGCACAGTGGTTAAGAGCTCGGCTGCTAACCAAAAGGTCAGCAGTTGAAATCCACCAGTCGCTCCTTGGAAACTCTATGGGGCAGTTCTACCCTGCCCTATAGGGTTGCTATAAGTCGGAATCAACTCGACCGCAATGGGTTTGGTTTTTGGTTTTTTACTGCTTCAGATGTTCTAGATGTTTCTGTGCAACACGACCAGGCTGAGTCTTGAGAGGTGAAGGGTCTCCATGAGCACAGGCCCTTCCTCCACTCAATTCAAAGCACAATAATGATTTGTGACTTCCTTCTGGTGAGAAAATCAAATTTCTGAAATAGGAGCCCTGTAACTTTTATACTTGTACTCTCATTGCCTTGTTCTAGGGATGACCTCAGTTAGAACACGATCACTCTATGCATGTCTAAGTTGTCACTTGTCAGAACTAGTAGTCATTCGTCTCTTGGAAATTCACTTACCATTACCTGTTACCATCGAGTCAACTCCAACTCATGGTGACCCCATGTGTATCAGAGTAGGACTGTGTCCCATAGGGTTTCAATGGCTGATTTTTCAGAAATCAACAGGCCTTTCTTCAAAGGTGCCTCTGGGTGAACTTGAGTCTCTAACCTTTTGGTTGGCAGCCAAGGGCATTAATCGTTTGCACCACCCAGGGACTCTGGAAATTCACTTACCATTTTCATTTTCCCTCTCGCAGTGAACATGGCTGAGCACTTTAAAGAAGCAAGCAGATGTCCCCTGTGCCCAGCCTATAACGAGAACCCCATGTACCTGAAATGTGGATACGTCTGCTGCCTCCAGTGCACCAACTCCCTGCAGAAGGAGCCCCATGGCGAGGGCGTGCTGTGCCCCGCCTGCCCTGTGGCGTCTCAGAAGAGCGACATCAGGCCCAATCTCCAGCTGGGGAAGCTGGTCTCCAAGATCATGGAACTGGAGCCCCAGCTGAAAAAGATTCTGAAGATGGACCCAAAGATGCTGAAGTTCCAAGGTAAGGAATCTTACAACCCTCCCCCCACTCACCCACTAAAACCAAAAACCAAATCAGTTGCTATGGAGTCCACTCCAACTCATGGTGACCCCATGTGTGTCAGTAGTTCTGTGCTACACAGGTTTTGCAATGGCCTATTTTTCAGAAGTAGATCGCCAGGCCTTTCTTCCAAGGCACCTCTGAGTGGACTCAAACCTCCAATCTTTCAGTTAGCAGCTGAGCACATTCACCGTTTGCACACCCCGGGACACTCCAATATGAAAAAGAGTCCCATATTTGCTGCAACAGTTATATAGGATAATTTGAACTAGTCAGAGAGGCCAAGTAAATTTCCCCAGAAAAAGTTCTTGTTTAAGGAAGAAGAATGGAAAAAAGAAACTCAAGTGAATCAGTTATTTGCCTTTTGCAGCAGAAGTGAGGAGTGGGCCCATTGTCCATTTCCTGATCTACTTATTTTACTCTCCACAGTGGACATGACCTTGGATGTGGACACAGCCAGTAACCTCCTCATCATTTCTGCTGACCTCAGGACAGTCTGCTGTGGGCATTTCAAGCACCATCTGACAGAGCACGTGGAGAGGTTCGACTATGCCTTGTGTGTCCTGGGCACCACTCGGTTCACCTCCAGCCGCCATTACTGGGAGGTGGATGTGGGAACAAGCCAAGAATGGGATCTGGGCATTTGCAGAGAATCTGCTCGTCGACAAGGAAAGATTCAGCTGTCTACAGAATGTGGATTCTGGACAGTGGGTTTGAGAAAGGGGGGCTACTTCTTTGCCAGCATCACACCTGCCTTAGAACTCTGCGTGGACCCCAACTTACGCCGAGTGGGCATTTTCCTGGATATGGACATGGGAAGCCTGTCCTTTTTTAACATGAGTGATGGATCCCATGTCTTCACATTCACCAAGATTTCTGCTGTGGAGACTCTGCGCCCATTTTTTGCCCCTTCAAACCCAAGTAATGGTGATCAGGGTTCCCTGAGTATCTGTCCTGTGATGAATTTTTATTTCTTTAAGTTCAACTAATGTATTAAGGAGTTTGTGAGTTAAATAAACATTTGGATATGGGAAAATGCATTATATGATTTTCTAACTATTAGGGAAAACAACACTTATTCACAGTAAAATGTGTGTGTAAAGCTATTTGGGGGGAACTTAACCATTTGCTGTGGAGTTTCTCCATCTCATGGTGACCCCATGTGTTTCATAACTATTCCATAGGTCATTTATGACAGCGACTTTTTGGAAGTAGATTGCTAGGTCCTGCTTAACTGTTTGGACCACCCAGGGGCTCCAGGGAGAACCCCCAAACCCAAAATCAAACATGTTGCTGTTGAGTTGAGTACAGCTGCCACATAGGGTTTCCAAGCTGTAAATCTTTGTGGAACAGAGAGCGGCTGGTGGGTTCCAACCGCTGACTTTTCAGTTAGCAGCCAAGCACTTTAAACACTGCGCCACCAGGGTATCAGGGACAACCTAGTAGAAGCAAAATCAGCTCACTGGGGTTGGTCTTTTCCACCTCTGAGGCCACCAGGTGGTACCAAAGAGAATATAACCTCTGTTCATGATCAACTTCAAATAAATAAATGGAATACCCTTTAGGGATCAATCTTCCATGCGTAAGAGTCAATGAAAATACAAACATGAGAACATTCACAAAAATGTGTGAATATAGTAAAAGTTATAAGTAAATTAAATTTAAAAAAAACCACAAGATAATAAATAAAGACTTTTTGTATATACACACACACATATATATATCATTCTTGTAGCTCCAAATCAGTGGGAAAATGCAATGCGAAAGTACTTCTAAGAAAATACTGCTCCCAATTCTTAGAGTTATGTGTTTTCCGTTTGCCTTAAGGAGACAACAGAGGGGATGTTTTAATTTGAAATGATAAGAGTTTCCAGCAAAAACCAGGAAATGATGACCATAGTAATGAAAGTCAATCAGAGAAATAAATGAAAGACAATTTAATCTAATCACCTAAATGTCATCTACACCCTCTTCAGAAAATAGGGCTATTCAAATTCCTACTTCATTCAGTTATCCGTCTTAGAAATTTCTTTTTTTTTTTTTTTTTATGAAATTGGCCATTTCATCTAAGTTGTGAAATTCATCGGCATGAAGTAGTTCAGTATTCACCTGTTCTTTTGTCTGATGCCTAGGATGTGTATTAAGAAGCATGCTTTCATTTCTGATTTTGATAATTTGTGTTCTCTGGTTTGTTTTTTTTTTTCTCCCCTTAGTCGAGCTGGTATTTTATTATGACCTATGAGTCTTCAAAAAATATGATACATATTTTTATTTTTTAAAACCGTGTATCTTGTTTGTTTATTAATTGTGATGTAAGGGAAATAAATTATAAAAATAACTTTCAGTTTTGATGCTATCATTTAAAAAAAAAAAAAACAGGGCCTTCACTGGCTGACTGATTGACGGGAAACAGTTTGAAGCTTAGTTATCAAACCTCTAAAAGTAGATCTTAACAATTTTGGAGAAAAAGCCCTTTTGGAGAAGTGACTGTTGACTAGTAAGTATGCTTTTTGAAAGACTTCTGACTAGTTTTAATTTCTTTCCTTGATCTAAATATGAGGAGGTTTTACTTCTGTGAGCAAAAACTATTTCAAACTAACTTCTTTCATGAGAATTCCTTTTTTTTTTTTTTCCTAGTAACCTAGAAAACATTGTTTTGGATAATTTTTTTTTAATTGTGGTTTAGGTGAAAGTTTACAGAGCAAATTTTTTTCTCTTTAAACAATTAATATACAAACTGTTTTGTGACATTGGTTGCCAACCCTGAGATGTGTCAACCCTCTTCCCTTCTCTACCTCGGGTTCCCCATTTCTAATTCATCCAGTTTTCCCGTTCTTTCCTGCCTTCTTGTCTTTGCCTTTGGGTTAGTGTGCCCGTTTAGTTTCATAAACATGGTTGAAGTACGTGTTATTGATGGTTTTATTGTTGTTGTTCTTGTTGTTAGGTGCCACTGAGTTGGTTCACTCATAGCCACCCTATGTACAACAGAACAAAACACTGCCCGGTCCTGCGTTATCCTCACAATCTTTGTCATGCTTAAGCCCCTTGTTGCAGCCACTGTATCAATACATCTCATACAGGGTCTTCCTCTTTTCTGCTGACTCTCTACTTTACCAGGCATGATGTCATTCTCCAGGATCTGATCCCTCTTGATAACGTGTCCAAAGTATGTGAGACGTAGTTTCCCCATCCTTGCTTTTAAGGAGCATTCTGGCTGTACTTCTTCCAAGACAGATTTGTTGGTTCTTCTGGCAATCCATGATATATTCAACATTCTTCGCCCACACCGTAATTCTAAGACATCAGTTTTTCTTTGGTCTTCCTTATTCATTATCCAGCTTTCACATGCATAAGAGGCGATTGAAAACTCCATGGCTTGGGTCAGGTGCACCTTAGTTTTCAAGGAGACATCTTTGTTTTATACGCCTATCTAATCTTTTGCTGACGAGTAAACTTCAGGAGTGACTTCAGTACTGAGTTATAATGGTGTCCAGGGGCAATACTCTCTGGGTTTCTCTAGTCTCTGTCAGACCAGTAAGTCTGGTCTTTTTTTTGTGAGTTTGAGTTTTGTTCTACATTTTTCTCCAGCTCTGTCTGGGACTCTCTATTGTGATCCCTGTCAGAGCAGTCAGTGGTGGTAGCCAGGCCCCATCTAGTTGTGCTGGTCTCAGTCTCGTGGAGGCTGTGATAGTTGTGTTCCACTAGTCCTTTAGACTAATCTTTCCCTTGTATCTTTGCTTTTCTTCATTCTCCTTAGCTCCGGACAGGGTGGGACCAGTAGATGTATCTTAGACCCTAGACACTACTCACCAAAGTAGGACGTAGAGCATTTTCTTTATAAACTATGTTATGCCAATTGAGCTAGACGTCCCCCGAGACCATGATCCCCAGCCCTCAGCCCAGTAACTCAGTTCCTCAGGGAGTCTGAATGTGTCTATGAAGCTTTTGTGACTTTGCCTTGGTCAAGTTGTGCTGACTTCCCCAGTAATGAGAATTAATTTTGATGACAAATATTTTGTTTTAAAAGACTCCATTCTAGATCCAAACCAATAGACATAGTATTCAAGATCTAATCTAGACCTTCTAGAGAGGGCAACATAGAGAGGACAACATTTCCTTCTCTTGTACTTAAGGTCACTCTGAGTAGGAGCTAACTAGATGACAACTAACAACAACAATCTGGATGATAATATCTTTCCATATTAATGATAAATTCCCCTCAAGATAAAATTATCTCTTTTGTTCTTGGTAACCCCTCTACGTCATCAGGAAAAATCTTATTTCTGCCATAATTGAATCACACAATAATTGGATAAAAGAGGTGTGGGCCTATGTGAATAGTTGGAGGAGGGACCCTCTATATAAAAGGTCCACATTGGTGGACTTCTATCCAGGACTGAGCTCCCAGTGGAAGCAGTTGGAGCCAGAAGAGAACCTAGTAGAGGAGAGGTGGGTGCAGTCTTACACAGTTTCCATTTACTATCAGACTCCTTCAAAGGACAGATAGGAGAGAGCAAGGCCGGGAAATGGAGTAATTTGTTAATTCAGCAAGTTTTGTCTGAGGCCAACTCCATGCCAGGCCCACTGTGTGCACTTGGGGTCACTGGGCCCTCTGCTGTAGGAACACTCGGGGGAACTTAGATTTTCAACATCCAGGATGAGGAATGACAGTCTTCAATTTCCTTCATCAAATCATAGCTTGACTTACTCTAAAAAAAATTAAAATTAAAAACAAACAATTTCACAGAGTAGAACCGTGCTCCATAGGGTTTTCAATGGCTGTGATGTTTCAGAAGTAGATCACCAGACCTTTCTTCACAGATACCTCTGGGTGGACTCCAACTGCCAACCTTTCAGTTAGTAGTCAAGTACTTAACTGTTAGTGCCACCAGGGACTCTATTGATCTACTCTATCAGATTGTACTTTATCAACTTTTAAATCGGAAGGAGCTCAGGTGGCTAAAATGGTTAAGCACTCAGCTGCTAATGGGAAGGCTGGCTGTTCAAACCCACACAGAAGCTCCTTAGGAGAAAGACCTGGCTATATGCTTTCCTAAAGATAACAGCCAAGGAAACCCTACAGGGAAGTTCTAATCCATCACACTTGGTCACTATGAGTTGAAAACTACTGGACAGCACGTAACTATAACCTAATAAGGGTGGGTCATTCCTGGTGCGACCCCTCCAGTCAATTGAGAGAAAGCAGGCATCTGAGAAAGAGAAAGTAGACTTTATTGCAAGCCAGTCAAGCAAGGACCGTCAGTTCTTGATCATATGCTACCTCCTGAAATGGTTGAACGTTAACCAATTCTTTTTGGCACAGTGACTCTACGTATTTCTTCCATCTTCTTTTGATGCTTCCTGTGTCATTCACCTTAGTCCTTAAAGTGACATCTTTGCTTTTTAACACCTTAAAGAAGTCTTTTGTGGCAGATTTGTCCAATGAAATACGTCCTTTGATTGCCTGACTACTGCTTCAGTGGGCTTTGATTGTGAATCTAGGTAAAACAAAATCTTTGACAACTTCAATCTTTTCTCCATTTATTATAATGTTGCTTATTGGTCCAGTTGCAAGGATTTTTGCATTTTTATGTTGAGATGTAATCCGTAGTGAAGGCTGTAGTCTTTGATTTTTACCAGTAAGTGCTTCAAGTCCTCTTTGCTTTCCATAAGCAAGATTGTGTCATCTGCATATCGAAGGTTGTTGATGAGTCTTCCTCCAATCCTAATGCTCCATTTTTCTTCATATAGTCCAGTTTCTTGGATTATTTGCTTAGTATACAGATTGAGTAATTATGGCGAAAGGATACAACCCTGATGTACAAATTTCCTGATTTTAAAACACGCAGTATCCCCTTGATCAGATCGAAGGACTGCCTCTTGGTCTAAGTACAGGTTCCTCATGAGTACAGTGAAGTGTTCTGGAATTTCCATTCTTCTCAATGTTATCCATAATTTGTTATGATCCACACAGTCAAATGCCTTTGCA